AAAACTTACATTTTCCATGTATCAACATTGCCAAAATCCATTTGCGATAAAACAATGGCGGAAAAGCGTTGATCTCTCCCCAAAACCATGTTTTTGGGCTTCGAAACAACTTTTCGCCATACATTTCCTTCTAGCGACTTGCAATGTTTGCCCCCTGACGATCCCAGAGTTCTTTGTGCAAACACGGGTATCCGATTACTGGCAACTCATTCATTCTCTGCACACTGTAACGTAACTTTTGGATTGTGCTTGACAGGTGACAAATTATCGAGGATGATCTGCAGCTTCGGGAATAGATATTGAGACTTTGATGTTTTTTTAAAGTATAATGAAATTTGTTACTATTATAATTATTTAATATTTAACTTGTTCATGCAATGTGATGGAGGTATTTAGTCTCTGCGAGGTCAATCCCATTAAGCTGGAACAGTGCTTGCTAGATATCCAGAATCCACTTAAATCAACATTTTCCTTTCGAGATACAGTAAATTAGTTTTCCTTTTGAATTTAAGTTGTCTCATAGACTTCTGCAAAATTAATTTTCTAGAGTGTTGGAAACCAATACTTGGGTCCAGTCAGTTGGATTGTTCCTGTTTTTGTTGCTTGCTCAACCTTTGGAGCAGTAAATGGCCTTCTTTTTACAAGTGGCAGGTTTGTTCCAGTGTTCCTTTCCTTTCTCTTATTGCTAAGTTTTTTCCTATAGTTATGAGTTGTTGAGATCAGTGCATTTTCATTAGATCACACCATGTTACAGAGAGGTTTTGCACGACCTCACAGTGGCCATGTTCGTGTCCCAAACCAATCATAAGAGATTTCAACTCTTTTCTTTTGTAAACATTCTCTTTTGTTCCAAAGACATTGCATGGCTGCTGGCCATGTGAGCAAAAGTACTCTTAGACTATTGAATTTATCTTAAATTATGAAAAGTTCAAGAAATGAACACTACAATTCATTCAATGGTCATTTGAAGAGACACTAGTCACTAGTGCTGTAATGATTTAATTATAGTGCAAGCCTAAACTAAATAATTATTGTCCAAATGGATTCTTTATTTGGATAGCGTTCAAATTAACAAGTAATTTGGACAGTCCAGTAGGAGGTAAAAATCTTTAAACTTGGCCCATGGCTGATATAATCATCTGGCAGTCTTAAAATTTTTTTGTCCAATTATTTCAAAACTGGACAGCACTTAGTCCTATCACATATAGTAGCAATGCACTTGGCCATAGTACCTAATCTCTTATTATTGATTCTGTCACAAAACAGTCCATCTACATCTATGAAGTAGGCATGTCAAAATCAAGCATTGGCTAGGTGGGCCACTGAAGGACATCAATAATAGACTGAAGCAAAAAATGTGATACTTACTTTTGGCCTTAATTCACTCTCCAGGTTGGTGTATGTTGCTGCACGAGATGGACTGATGCCTTCTCTGTTAGCCATGATTCACGTCAAGAGGTTCACTCCTCTCCCATCCCTGTTTTTCACAGTAAGTGGAAATATTTCTTGTTGGGAAATGACTTTACATCACAGTAGCCACTTCACTGATTGAGTCCATTTGTAAAATGTAGAGTAGAATGGATAGAGTATGAATGGGTGACGGCAAATAATTCATTATTGTGGAGGCAACATGACAGAAGAGATTGGGGTCAGGTGTATCCATAGGAAGGCAAGTCATGAACATCTGTGACATTGAAACTGTTTTAAGGGCCTGGGGCCCATTTCTCGAAAGCCCCGGAAACTTTTCAGGCCCGGAAAGCCATAGCAAAATCTCAAACGTTACGATTACAGCGCTGTTTTATTCACGTATTAATATGAACAGAGGTTCCCTTCATACAAGAAGTTTCAGGCGTATACACTACTCCGTTTGTAGATACATATGAACTAAAAATGGCTTTACGGGCCTGAAAAGTTTCCGGGGCTTTCGAGAAATGGGGCCCTGCAGTGATAAGCTACTTGGGTCCTGGAGTCACTCAAGCTGTAACAGACTGTACCTTTTTAATATGTTATTTTCCCACTTATATTTTGTTTATCTTTGTTTTTGTTCTCCTTATTCTCACCAGACACTTATTTCCGTGATCATGTTGATTCCAGACGCTAGTAGCTTCTCGAGTTTGGTGGACTTTTTCAGCTTTGCGGCCTGGTTGTTTTATGGTGGAACATTCGCCTCTCTTCTGTGGCTGCGCTACAAGAAACCAAACTTGAACAGGCCTTATAAGGTAAGCTGTCTCTCCAAATGTACGAAAAACACAATGCAGCTTGTTAATGCACCCCAAGTTATCAGGGAGAATTGGTCAGTATGTCTGAGGCAGAATTCTGACTGAAAAGAACAATTCAGTAAGAAATATTGAAGTAACCTGCATAGTAATAATTAAATTTGGCAGATTCCTACACACAGAATAGTTTGAAAAGTAAAGCCATACCATGTTACTTGGGGCCAGTTCACGTTATCAAAGTTAATTCTGTAATAATGTCTTCTGATTGGTTTTCAAAAATTCATGCTGTAAACCTACTCTATTAACCAATTAAATCCAAACTCAAATTCAATCATAACTTGGTCATTTACCTTTTCCACCCCTTGGCACTGGTAGTATTGTTTTTTCGTGGTTGTTGTTGTTTCTTTTTTTGGAGTAACGCTGATTTGCAGAGGGATGGTGGGCTGGACCCTAGGTTTAAGCTGGTAGAGGACATGCTGTGACCATGGGCAAGAAACTTGACTCTCACAGTGCTTTTCTCCACTGAGGAGTATTTAAATGGTCTTGGCAAATTGTTGGGACAACCTGATGGAATGCTGGGGGGTCACCTATGATGGACCAGCATCCCAACCAGAGGGAATACATGTAGCAATACTCCTAGCCTACTTCATGCATGTTACAGAGACATGTCAGAGCTAAATGCTAAGAGCTATGAGCTATTTGGGCTTGAAAGGCTTTTCTTCGTGGAATTACTATCATTGTTTTAGACTGTTGATTTCCTTAGTTGTGATTGGTCATTATAATTGCTCTTTATCACTCAATTGAAAAAATCTCCCTGTACTTTAATCATAATAACTTTGACAACATAAACCAACTCATTTTGAGGAACGGTATGTAATGAAAAAAGGCACTGCAGACCTTGTAGTTCTTGTAGGGATTCATTACTTGAGGTACCATTCTAATGTTGTGTATTTTCTCCCTTAGATATTTATACTCGTACCCATTGGCATGTTGCTGGCCTCAATTTACCTGGTTGTTGCTCCAATCACCACAGATCCAAAAGGCTCACTCATTGCCTTAGGAGTTGTCTTGGCAGGCCTTCCATTTTACTGGCTGTTTATTGGCAGTGATCATGC